AGTTAAGTTAACGTTACGTTACTAGTAATAAACTAACTTAGTTACTAAGTACTATTACTATATACTAACTACTGTAGTGTATGTGTGTGTATATATATATATATATATATATATATATATATATATATATAGATATACACATACAAATTTTTCATGTACTCTTTAACATCTTAAAACACATCAACGTTTATACACAGCTCATCTTGAAATATGTTAATCACACATGACAGCCTGAAACTGTAGGCTCGAAGAGTCAACCTTCAGCCTTTACCAAAGCCTGCTCCTAGAAACTACTTTTCAACACAGCATAAATTGCTTTTGGTTGATTATAAAGTTAAAGAACTTTTGTTTTTGTAATGTATTTGCTTTTTCTTAACATAAAATAGAGCAAAGAAAGTCTTCACTGTGAGTGATCCAGTTAAGTTTGTTTCATAATCTGAATTAACTTTAAAAAAGAAAGAGGTAAATCTACATAATTTTCAAACAACCAAGGAGTGAATTATGCTTTTTGTATTCTTTATAATTTACTATATGTTTTAAGTAGCACACTTAATCTATATACAGTTTTAGCTAAATGAGGTCACATTAGGCTACATGTGGATAAAAAAGTTAGTTTAAAGCCCTGTAGAGAATGTCTGATCAAATTAATTTGCTATTGCTGTAATGAAGAATATATGTGATTGTCAATTTTCATTTAGTGAAGATTATCTTACACCAAACTTATTCTTTTGGGGGTACTTATTGTTTACCTTACAATTTTAGTACATGTCCTAATAACATTTAATGACCTTCTTATAAGCCTGAGGAATCTTTATCTGCATGTCCAAAATGACCATTTCTTTTTTAACTTCACATGTTTGTGGACCTAAAGAACATCATTTTTAATGCATGATGTCTAAGCTGTCAAAACAAACTGTTAGAGTAGTAGGTGTGATATTACATCACAATATGATTGATGATTTTATTATAACTGTATTAAAATTAAATATTATTGTAACATAATTTATTTTTGTGAAATAAATCATAGTTGATACGATACTGAAATCATTTTACATATGTACACATATCTATTCCTGACAACATCAAAACATTTTAAATTAACAGATCTTTAGATAACCAGCACTTTATCAGAAATTTTCTGTTGGTAAAAGGTAAGGTGGTTTAATTCTGATTTACACTGTGTTAACACTAGAGGTTGTTCTTCAGTGGCACCATGAATTTTGTGCTTTGTACAGAGAAAGCTTTAATCTGAATGATCCTTTCAAGGAATGATTATTTCATTAAACTCATCTACTGTTCACATGCTTAAATTTTAAATGATTAGTTATGTTTTTCTCAATATACAAGTTAATTTCAACTCCAAAATGACTAATCTGTGGTAGAGTACCATACATATATATGTAATGTTAGATATATTAAAGACACAGAATAACATTTTATAATCTAAAACATAACAAAATGTCTTGCTACCTTGGGATAACTGTGCACTAGAAATGTTTCGAGGGAAATCAGCATATGAAGGATCTCTGTCAAAACCAGGTGGTACACTATTGACAGTTCCTTTACCACTTGCATCACCAACTCCAATTTCTTCGGTATCAATGTACTCTGAATAATCTAATCCTTCTTGAAGACGAAGGATACCCAATGACAGATGCATGTCAAACACCCCACTGAAGAAGAAAGTAGACGTTACTAGTGGATAATACAGTATACTAAAACATTAAATTACTAGGTAAGATGAAATGGCTCACTGAGTGAAGTTGAAAATGTGAAATACATCTAAATTTCTTAGACTGACTGATTACCTGACATTTAATTAGGTAAAGTCCATTGTCCAAAATAACTGTTTTCTAAAATATAATCAGATTTTATTTAAACTTTTATGTTTCCTTTTCCCTTGTGAGTATTTTTATGAAGTTAAACATTTTGTTTAAACATGTGCATGTACAGCCTTCTTCATTGTTTACCCAAACCATTTCTTTGAATTTTATGTCCTTTTTTGGTGAATTGAATGAGACTTTTTAAAGTAATCAAACCATAAAAACATAATACACACAAATTAGTTTTTCATGGTGTAACAAATTTGTTAGTATATATTTATTTTAATATCGACGTTTGTTTAGATTAAATTTATATTTAAAAACATAAATAGCTTATAGTTTTAAATATGTATTGCAAAACTCCCACCTATTCTCCAAAGTTGTAGAAGATTCTCAAAAGTAAGAATCAACAATATATGTATGCACGTAAATGCTTAAATGTAGCTCAGTATTGTTACGTAAAATTGAATTTTCTAGAAAGCCTTCACATGGCTATAAATATAACCAACATGATGCGCCAAAAGAGAGTATCTATTATTAATTTGCTATAGTCAGTGTACTATAAACTTTGGAAGCTATAACTTATCAATCGGAAACTTCAGATGTTTGACCAGGAGCATTTACAAAGTTCAAACATTACAAATCATTTAACTTCAGTGGATTCTCATCAGACATTAGTATTTTTACGAAAACATTATATAAATTCATCGTGGAAAACTCGGTGCATGTGGCTGGTGAATAACGAAGGACAAAGCTAGCTAGCTTCCCGTTAAGCGAATTGTACTTACGTCAACTCGTAATTAACTCGCTCATTGTGAACTCCCGATAATATATTGAGAAAATTCCAGACTAGAAAGAAGACTTTATATTGCTTGTAAGATTGTAAAATTTTTGTATATAAGTCATTGTTTGTAATAACTATTTGTAATAACTGTTATTGTAAATTGTATTGTTGTGTGTATATTAAAACATATTTGTGTAAAAAAGAAAACTGTGTGTATCAATCTTATTGGCAAGTATCATAAACTGACTATATATCGACTTTTACTTAACTGCTAAATCCAAAGTACAATTTAACTACTACATTTAAATTTGTCAGTTAACACAGTTTCAAACCATTCAAAATTGTAATATGTAACAATGGATATAAATACTGTGTTAAATACCTGAAAAATATTTTGTCTATAACAGGTTGACCAAAAAAAAAAGTTTTGTAATTTTAATGGAGTAAAACAATATTCCTTGGTTTCTAGCATATAATTCCTTGTATTCATTACCTAATAATTTTAAAGATTAACTTACTGAATGACATTGAAGTATTCCAAGACTTCTTCTTCATTACAAACCTGCCAGTTATGTTTGTAACCCATCAACAAGACATTAGGTCGAAGTTTTCCAAGCCCTACAAGCTGTGGACAAAAAGAACATCTCACTAAAACAGAAATTCAGTACTATTTTATAAACACCTAATAGTTTCACCATAATAGCTTGCTTTGGTTCATATAATTTGTTGGTGAACTAAATTGAATATGGATCAGATTTCCAGATTATATTTGCCTTACTTAGAGACTGATCCTACTATCAGTACTTACCTGAACTAAGGATCTCACTCCATGTGAAAAACTTTCTTCTTCTACTAAAGAATAAAAAGCCTTGATTTTTCTTTCCTGCAACCAGCGTGTAGCTTGCTTGTTGAGTACATTTCTAGCTCGCTGAGACAATCGATCCTAGGGACAGTTTTATAAACAGTCTTAATTGTGTACAATAAATATATAAATATTAGCTAACCTTAATTATTATTCTCAAAGACATGCAAGATTTTTTCATTCAGTAATATAATTTGTACATTTTTTAAGTTTTATGCAGAATATTAAAAAATCAAATGTAATAAATAATAGGAGGGATATCCTTCTTGAATGGTAGATGTTGTTAACATGATTGTACCGAGGAAAAATAGAAAATAATGTTATCTTACCTAGATAGAGGATCATTACATTCATAAACATTAACTATAGTATTTTGATTATGATAATAAAAAATGCCCCAAACTCCTCTTTAACCCTATGTTCATACCCTGGGATTTTTTCTACCCAATAGATTTTGTAAACAATCTCAAACAGATGGAAGCAGTCAGGCCTTTGCTGTTCCTGGTAGCTTCCTAAAACTGCTGATAGAGTACACATCTAGTTCCCCCATTTTTTATCCCAGCTGAGCTGAGAGCAACACGTGATTTCTTGTGGCTTGGGGAGCAAAATACCCAACATGTTACTAAACCAAGGTATATTTTCCTGGGTTAACTAGCTCTCTATTATTATCATTTTCATTGATATTGGTCAATCTTTTCAGTTTGATATTTTTAGTTCAAATTAATTCATAGGAAGATGTTTAAATAAAACATAATAATTTTACTTTTTCCTTTTTTTTTGTAAATAGAACGACATTAAGCATCAATATCTGGTATTTTCCATTATTCCTTTATTAGCACTACCACAACATAAAAAATGAACAATATTCCATGGAATTATTCACAAGATGTTTACTTTAAATGCAAACATAGATATATTAACAATATAATAAAACTTATTGGTTTTTTTGTTTTTTATCTGGGATGTGGCGCAATCCTATTATACAAAGGTTTTCCATACAGCAAGGGTTCTAATGCGGAGTTAATGAACTCACCTTGTGAATGTTTCCACACAAAAGCAAACTCAATTTTTTAGTAATGCTGTAGGCAAAGTCCACTAGAGGAGGCCTGCTGTTTGGATTGCCAGTCAGTAAGAGAATCTGGGGCCTAAAAATTAATCACATAGTGTTCAAATTCCATTTTGATACACTTTAAACATACAAGCAATTCAACCAGTACATAATTCTAACACATACAAATTATTAGTTTTGAATTTTGCAGTTTTTATGGGCATTTATGAATTTTTTACCACTACCCACACCTTCTCTGGATGGATCTTCACCAAATTTGGTGTGAGAGTTCATTAGGTCCATGGGGAGAGAAATACAAATTTTCAGTTTTGCATTTTTTAGTCTTTATGGGCATATTGCATTTTTTACCACTACTTTGACCTCTGTTGATGGATCTTCATCAAATTGGGCAGGAAGGTTTTTTTTCGGGTCCATACAGAGACATATGCAAGTTTGCCGTTTCACATTTTGGGTTTTGCTATTTTTATGGGCATATTTTTTAATTACATATAAGGGAAGTAACTTTTCATGTCCTAAAATAACCTTTCATTAATCATTAATTTACATAACTTCCGTCCAGGGGAGAGGTATTCCAACTAGTATTTTATATTACTATGTTTACCAACATAATCTTTTACATGAACTTTGATATCCACAAGGTTTTATTTCAGCTTTACATTATATAAACCATGTAAAAATATCAGACAATAAAAACACAAATCATAAGAGGGTGAAAATGCATCACTTTTGATATTTACCATGATACAAATCATGAACTAATGTGATTTTATAGCATCATTTTATTTTCATAATTTATAATACTGTAATACATTACACACAAACAAGAAAATAGAGATACATTATACAGGATATTACCAAAACCATTTGAAACAACAACAATTAACAAAAGAAAACCATACTCTGTGATAAATTATGTATTAACAGCATCATTATCATGACTTCATTTCTTTAACAATACACCCATTAAATAAACAATGCAACAAAAGTGATTATATATATTTTAAACTAACACACATGATGTTAAGTTATAACCTGGCATCATCATTCGAATTACACATGTAAGTGATAGACATTATCTTAACAGTATTTCTGATCCATACGCATACAATACATGATCTAATTAATAATGTACTTTTTTTTTAAATAAACTACACCCATGTTACATTAACATGTTAAATTCATTCATTATTATTGTTTTCACACTGTTAACCAAAATACCCCTTACCTGTAATTCTTCACATGTTCTTCAACTTGATTCAATTTTACTACAGAACTCAGGGCTGACTTGTAAGTCTGTGCCTGAGTAGAAGAGCCCCAATTCACATCTGAAGGAAGCACATACCTCATAAACTATTAAAGCATGTAACCCCTCATCTATCCTCCCCAGTTTTAATAATAATATTCTTATGTTTGCAATATGAAATGTGACATTATCATCTGTAGACTAAATCTGTTAAATTGATGCCTTGAAACATAATGTTAGATATTTCACTCAAAAATCTTCTTTTTTCTATTTGTAACAACACTGAAGTCAAATAATTCAAATGTTTTAGAAGCAAATGAACAGATATCTTTGATAATTACATTCACGTATTATTGTTAATCACCTAGTTAAAAAAACAAACAAAATGGTCTGTGTCCAAAACATTTTATTAAGCACAAAAGAAAAAAGAAAATCAGAGTAACTAAGAGTTAGCTAAAGTAACTTGCAAACTTGTTCACAAGTTACTTCTGAAAACTTAAAACACATTGGAATTTTTCTTTATTAATGACTTCAAAAAGTCGCAGATGCTACATCAATGAAGGCATACTCTTAACATTTTGATTTTTAAAAGTATCCATGATATTCTCTTCTTTAGCATATACGTCACTTCAAAAGATAGTCATAACTAAAACAACAATAAACACAAAACAGGAGTTAAGTGTGGAAAGATTTAAACATGACCTAACAGGAATTTTTAAATACTAAACAAGCTACTTTTAAGATAATCATATACATGTCGCGATGATTAACATATTTTCTTTAAAAAAATTATAGCAAAAACTAAATAAAGCAGCTCCTTCTCTATTCCTTAATGTAAATAAGTAAAAAAAAAGTTAAATCTTAATTTTCTGTTATGAAGTAAGTTAACTTTATGAATATACATGTGTTAAGTGTTTAATGTACCAGCAAGGAAGACATTTTTTTTGACACAGGAATGTAACCAAGAGTGACGTTTGTAAAATTAAAAACCCATTCTTGTGGCTGAAACTAACAGTGATATAGATGATGGATAGCATCTTGGTATTAAAAGAAATATCAACCTTGATTTTAAATAACTTTAAATAGTCATGTATCACATAAATTATTCTGTTATATCAAACATGACAGAGTTTATTAACTATTCCAATCATCAGAAACATTGATAAAAAATACCACCTACCTGGTTTTCGATGATGAATGTAAATATATAATGCTAATATGATGGCATAGGTGATGAGAGCTGTCCACCAATTAATAATGAACATAACAGCAACACATAGAATTGCTCCAACTAAACTAACCCACTTGTTATAATACTTGAAAGCTGGCCGAAATCCTACAACAATAACAACAACAACTAGTATTGTGTCAAGAGCTGAAGTTAGCCTTATTAATCCTACTGCAAATCACTAATATGTTAATAAAATCTATGATAACTAAATAGCTCTGTAGATTCTCCAACTATCACTACAATACAGATTTATTCTATTGTTAAGTATCATAATATTCTTAGAAAATTTACACTGTTATTTGAGAAAAGTAAAGGAAATTGAGCTCATTTCAGTACTATGAAAGTTTTTTGCTCAGTTTGATAATTTTTAAAGAAAAAAAAATACAATCTTGTATGATTTCTAAGTAAGTTCACTTTTAGTAGTGTATGTAAACAACTCCAGAATAATTTTTTATTACAGTTAAAAATCTAACATAAAGTTTTAAAAACTTAATCTAGTTTTATAAATATTTGGGCAAACAGAAAAATTCAAACTATAACACAAATGAAATTATCAGTATTTATTAGATATTAACAGCTTCCTGCAATTCCTCACCTTGTATTCTGTTCTTTAAACTAATAGCTATTTGCCAATGAAAAAGTTAATACTTATGAACATGTCTAGTGTTAACATTGGTGACAATGTTTCTTAAATGTTAGAGGTAGGTGAATATCAACTCAAATAAAACAAATACATCATATGCTACTCACCAGGTGACCTAACAAATGATGCATGAAAACATGAGAAGTTGATTAAACAATATGCAGCCAAGAAGAAATTTGAAATAATTGGTGCAATGGCATTCAATTCCCCTAAGAAATAAAAGATAAGATCTGTAATACAACAATATTATATTGATGTTAAACATTTTGTGAAATGTTGTACATTTGTCACTATGTTAAACTTGTAATAAAATTTTCTTCATTATCCATTCAAGCCACCTTCAAACTTTATTTTCCTAATTTTTTCTGTGCTATCAAAAAAAGAAAAGCCTGGGTGCTCTGATACAAATAACAAATTAATTAACATACTAAAAAATATGAAAAAGTATGAGAAACATATGCACTGCATTGTCTAAAGTAAGTTAAGATTAACAAGCATGTTCGTAAAGCACAGAAATTTGTGTTTTAGCTCAGGAGAGATTTGAACATAAACCACATAGTTTTACATTTGTTCTAAGCTGACTGCCATATCAACTAGTTTCAGCTCTGAGTGATTTTAACATAAACCACATAGTTCTATCTTTGTTCTAAGGTGTTTGTTTTATCAATTAGTTTTAGTCTTGTGGAATATTGGATGTGACAACAGTGAGTACCAGTTCTGTTCAAAAGTTTAAAATGCAATCAAACATTTAATGACTTGTTTTCTCAAATATTTTTATTCAGACATCTGATGATTTTAAATTTTGTTGAATTAGGAAACATGTCTCACAGTTGTTTAAGGTAATATTCAAAGTAAGTATTTTCCCAAATTAATTTTAAATATTGCAGAAAGTAGCCCAGTATACTTGCATTCAGTAAAACACAAAGGAAAGAAAATAAAAATTGCTTCAGTTTTTGAGATTTGGTTGAAACAAGTTGATATCCAATAACGATTCTACAAGGTATATGTTCTTAATATCGTAAAACAGTTATTTTTGTCAACACTTATCTTACAAAATGGTTTGTGTTTACACCTTAACATGTACCACAAAGCTAGGATACGTATTGTCAGAACTTGATTATAACAAAGTAGAAACTGTTGCAAAGTGTATAGTACAAGAATGTGCAAATAAAACAGATCAGAAAGTGTGTTAAGTCACTTCGAGATTTATATAAAGTTTGTACTGGTATATATCTGATAAATTCAACACAACTGAAATTTTGTTTTGTAATACAAGTTACAGCGAACTTCATACTGAGTAATGACTCATTTAGATACCTACCTATTATCACACATGCCAAAGCTATTACAAAGGCCAAAATGTACCCTCGTCTTGGTTCTCCACCTTTCCCATAACCTTTAGCAAAATACTCAATTTTGGGGAAGATGTTATCTTTGCATAATGCCTGTATAAAAAACAATAATAAAATTTATTTGAGTGAAATATGTTAAGAATACTTTTCTTTAGTACAGATCTGATAAAAACATTACTGAATTGCATGAAGAACTAAAGATTGCATGACAATATAAAAGAAAAGAAAAGATAACCCAAAACTAACAATTTTGCTTTCAGGAAGATAACATAGTTTGGGAAATAATATTATATTTTGTAACAGTCTTTCAAATTTTGTTAATTAGTAACTAAGCAGACAGTAGGCTTACATATCTATGATAAAGGATCAAAGGAACAGTTGAAATATAGTATTATTAATTATAAACCTAGTATCCAGGATAGAGAAGAAACAAAGATACTAAACTTCACATCTGTGTTTCTCTACTTACCTGAAACACTTTTGGAGCACTAACAAGGCTGGCAAGAGCTGAAGACAAAGTTGCAGCAAAAATTCCAGCATAGATCAAGGGACCAAATGCTGATATCATCTCCATTACCTTGGAAATAAATTAAGTATACAATACTTAGTAACTAATGAAAGGCTTTTACTTAGGACATTTTAAAAACTGGTTTGTAAGGAATTACCAAAGTTATTCATTCTGAAATCATTATGATTTTAATATAAATAATGCAGAATTTAAAGAATGTACAATTTACCTACATAAGAATTCTTGGATGAATCTTTATCAGGATTAATGTGAAAAACCTGATTTTTTGGGTTTACTTATAAACACCTGGTAAAAAATTTAATACCCGTTTTTTATGGAAATAGTTTTTCTTCATTTATTAAGTTTCTCGTACCCTGGACAACAAGCAATAAAAGAGAATAAACATTTCTATAGAGTATGTCCATATTCCTTCCTTTTACATTTAGATATGACAAAGTCAGTCCACACATTAAAATTTAAACACTGTACTTTGAAGAAATCTTCAGACTGATAGTACTCTGACATAAATTCTTATTTACTTTCTGTGTATGTAGTTGTGTGAGAAAACCAATGTCAGGTCAAGGACAATTTTAATCAAGGACATCCTCAATTGAGCATTTTTCATTTGAAAATAAAAAGTATGTTAAATATCCTCAATTTACAACTAAGAACATACACATATGTGCACACACACACCCATATGCGTAAGTAAATGAAAAAAAAATAATAAGTGACTGTTGTAATACTCAAAGTCTCCATTAGGTTTTGGTCACAATTTGAAAAAAAAAAAGCAATTTAAAATTTTTAATACCTAAGAACTACTAAACAGGTAAGTTTAGTCTTTATGAAAAACCTATATTTTTTATGAAATACTAATATCTTAGTTTTTTAGGAACTTATTTTAAAAGGTACACATTAACTGGTAACTTTTGTTTTTACTGATTTTAAAACATATCCAATATGTTCAAAACTTCTTGTGACTACATATGTTAGAGTGAACTTACCTGAAAAAAATTCATTGATCCATATTCACATTTTCCCCCTTCTGCCAAAGAACAGTTAGTTATTAAATCCAGAGTTCCATTCTCCACTAGAGCCACTATTCCATTACTATCTCGGTATGTCACACAACCACAAATAATGGCAAATATTATATATGCTGCACTGGAGATAATTATACCCAAAAATGTCCCTTTTGGTATGGAACTTTGTGGGTCCTAAAATTGAAATGATTTTATGTACACAATATACAAATCAGAAATGTTTTAATATTTAATTACTAAAATTCGGCATATTTAAAAAAATCTATTTAATTACTAATAGATTAATCAAAAATTAACCCGAAACACATATAATGAAGAATTACAGGGAGGATATAAACAAATGGCTAAAGTACTGCTATGACAACTCAGGTAATATGAACTTAGGTTTATCGACTTCCTATAGAGTATGAAAACACTGTCCCATGAATGACTGAATAATGAACAATGTACTTTAAATTATAACATTAGTAGGATGCTCATGCATGAGCATCTCATCAATGCAAGATATTAGTGCAATTGTTCAAAAATAATTAAGAACTGAATGGCAGGGTGTAACTATTTAATCATTACTAATTACTGAATACGTGGATGACTCTTCAACCAACTAGTGACTAGACATTGAGTGTCTATATATAACCTTAGGTGAAAATATAACACAATGCATTGTGTCTGTTTAACCAATGCAGTTAGTTGGATATTAACAGGTGATTGTTAAAACCAGTGCTGAGGTGTTAGTTTTAACAAAGTTGCTGACTGGAAACACATAATAGCTAGGTCTCTCCTAGAATAATGATCTATAGCTGATGCATGTTTGATAACTAATTGATTCTTTTTTTCAAAAGCTCCTGAAAAGTGATTCACCTTTTAAAAAGGTTTGAGCTATATTCAACTATGATAGATGGTTTGACTCACAGAGTCATTAAATTAACAAAAATCATGCCATAAAAATATAAAATATATAGAATTTGCTAAAGAAAAGAAAAAATTATTTCCGCATTTTCAAAGACTGAGTAAAATAATTAAAAGCTAAGTTTTAGGTTAAATAGTTATTAACATTAGCCAATTTAAACAAACAATTAGAATATAAAACAATTTCCATACTGCTAAGTCTCCTGATATGTTTGCTCCAGCAAGAATTCCTGTAGCAGCAGGAAAAAACACAGAAAATACTGAGAAGAAGGTCTCCCCACGAAACTCTGGTACAAAATTCTCACTTGCAAGCTCCGCTAGAATCATCAGAAGACAAATAATCAAAGAAGGTAGTTACTGTGAAAATAACATGCTGTAATAGATTCAAAGAACAAAAGGTTTAGAATCTCTATTCAACACCAAAAAATACATTTGACTTTTTTACTCTGAGTGTTAGAAAAACTTGTTATTGACAACTTCCAACACTCAACTTCCTGAAGTTAATCCACAATTAGAAACCATAACTAAAGAAATTTTAAGCTAAAAGTCTACAAACAAAATCCAAGGAATTATAATAGACTATGCAAATTATCTAAAACAATTCATAAACTTATACTTCAATTTACAGAACCCTGTTCTCAAAAGTAAGATGTTTCATTGGAATTTGAATCATCAGCTGTTGTGAACTGCAGGACAATATTACAGATACAATTACCACTAATAATATTGATCTTAGTATCCTCATGTGCTTGTGAACTGCAGGACAATATTACAGATACAATTACCATTAATAATATTGATCTTAGTATCCTCATGTGCTTGTGAACTGCAGGACAATATTACAGATACAATTACCACTAATAATATTGATCTTAGTATCCTCATGTGCTTGTGAACTGCAGGACAATATTACAGATACAATTACCATTAATAATATTGATCTTAGTATCCTCATGTGCTACCTAGCTATATCACAATTACTCTCACTACAAAACATTAATTATACCCACCACTCCAGCCAATGAACCCTTGAGCTTTCTGAGATACTGAGGGTGGAATGAGACAGCCAATCAAAAAGTCCAACATGGCTATCAAGAGGATAAAAAGCAATACGATTTGGGCCTGAAAAGTATTAAATTAACAACATATCATTCATGCAATAAGTCATTCTTCTCTGTACATAAAATTCTATGAAACTGTATGTTATACACAATAAAGACTAAGTGTTAGTGAAAATCTTCAAGAGGGGAATGCTAGTGTATTATGTGTAACATAGCACAATAAATACAAATTGGGCTATCTGTGCTATGTCCACAACGAGTATCAAAACCTAGTTTTTTAGCATTATAAGTCTACAGACTTACCACTGTGCCACTGGGAGGGGAGACAAATTCATTTTGGAAACAAGTTGTTAATACTGCATGTCTTTGTGATATATTGCCTCCTTGTGGCAATACTTTAATATAACTAAATACTTGTTACTAGCTAAATAGTTAGCTGTAGGAATTCATGTATAGTTTTGCTACAATGAGTTTTGAAACATCTGAATTTAAACACTGTTTAAAAACAATGTTCTAAATTTATATTGTAAATGTTGAAAACATTTTGTTCAAGGTGATAACTCACCACTGCATACAGTTTAGCTGTGTTCCTTATATATTTGCCTAAGTGTAAGCTACAATGTACCAAGATCATGTACTGAATGTATATTATACAGAAATCATATCATTTTTTGTATATTATACTAAGAGTAAAAAAAAATGTTCACTCCTGTGGAAATACATTTTACTCTGATTCTGCACTGCAACATTCCTTACTGGCAGAAAGAATTATGCTTTACATTAACCTTTTTACTAATCTTGAGGCAACTCCCACCTCATTGCACATGTTTCAATGTGAACTGTGCTGGTGCATGATGACATCATCATGCGACTTAAGCCCTCCACCAATAGGAGAGTGACACAAACTCTAAGTACAGTAACTCCCCTATGCACTTGCACTTGTAGTAACTTCATTCATTTCCTCAGCACTGAATGACACAGACATGTTTAATTTTCTTGTCTGAATTCAATTTGTTGAGATTTGCATTATTAAGGAAACTTTTTCGTTTTCTTTAGCTTTTGTTCCAAAAGTTTTAATTCATTGTTGTGAATTCTCAAGTGATGATAATTTATATTTAACCCTGTCAAATCACTTTGTACACACATAGGCCTTATTTCTACTCTGGCTTCTGGAGATTATTAACTGATAGAAGCATTGCAATCATTGTGGAATACCACATGCTTACTAGGCCTCCAACTCCTATCCCATCAGCCATCATTATTCTCCTCAATCAAGGACAATCTCTTCGACTGCCATTTTAACCTGAGTTGTTTTGGGATGTACCTTATCAATCGAGAAATGGCTTGAACCTTCCTATTTTTTTCTGGATTTCATTCTCATGTATGTCCCTTTCATTATCTTTTGCCTGTGTTCTTTATTATTTCTAATTTTTTTACTCCAGATCCACAATTCTTGAGGTTTACCTTGTCTTTCCTCCTTGCTTGCTCTTAAGGTTTATAGTGTTTCTCTAATAGCTCCTCTCTCACACCAGAATGCCTAGTCCTCCTCCCATTCATGACTTTTTTTCTTAACTTGTAGACTTCTTCCTTTCCTTTTCTCAAATACCTGTCCATGGTATCTATTTGACCAGCTTGGGGAGTGGGCCTCCTTTCCCTCTGTGTCAATCTCTTGTTCCACATTTTTGCATTTTCTTCTTTTTTCTCATTACCCTCCTGTATTCCCTTTCCTACCTTTGCCATTTTTCTGAGATACTTCATCATGCTTCAGATGGGTTTTCTTTAGTTGCTTGTTTCCTTCTTTTGCCATCTTGCTTGTTCCATTTCTTATGCTCTATCACTCTTTACTTTGTTCCCCTGAAGTTGAAACTCATTAGATCAGGTTAAATTCCACTTTACTGTACTCCTTCCTCCTCCTTGTGTACATGGTATTCGTCAGACTCCCTTTCTTCACCCGTATGTCTTCTGTGATGTTCATTTCTCCCTGGTAACTTGGACTAATGCTGTATGGCTTCAGTCTTCATTATCTTCCTAGGTTTTTCTTCTTTCTCAAACTTTCCCTTTCCTCCCATTCCCTGTGTCGATCAGTCTACCTCTGATCTCCCCATTCCAGGTTCCAGGCTTTCCTCTTTTTCTTGTCTTCCCTCTACCAGAAATCTATTTCAATGCACTTGTTGTTAGTGACTATCAAACATGTAAGACCAGTGGGTACCCATCTCTCCTTCTGCTGTTTATCTCATTTTCTACCAAAAGTTGTTTTTCATATCTCTACCTTGCTCACTTTTCTTGCCTTTCTTCTCTTCATTCCTCTTCTCATTTCCTTTTCTCCTCCCTTTGATCCCATCTATAATCTTTCTCTCCAAGTATGTAGTTGACCATGGTCAATGAGTTGGATACTCCAAATCACTCTCAACCCATCATCCATATATATTTTAAATTCTATCCTACATTTTTGCATTTTCTCATTCTTTGCTCTTCCCTTCGACTTAACATTGGCCCCATAATGCTTCTTAAACCAGATGTCTCTCTCTCTTCACATTGTGCTCAACCTTCTCACTGTTTGTCAGGCATATTAACATATCTGCCACTACTAGTGGATTACTTAGTCATTTTTCCACTCAGTCAATTCCATGGTCATTTCTTAGATCAACCATCTGAGAGACATCTGTTCCAAGGCTCTTTGCTTTTGGAATTTGAACATACATTTCTGGGTCCATTCATATCAGGTATGGCTTATTACCAATCATTTGTGGCAGCTTCAAACTTTGTAGCAGGCCACCTCTCTCAGCCAGTCTGCATTCTACCATTAGAGTGGTCATTACATCTCCAGGTCATCCATGAGGTTTGCTTTTTGTTAGGCATGTCCACTATGGATGTCTTTGACACCCTTCTTTACTCTGGGCTTCCTCTCTTCTGTTCACTGTTCCTTATCCTTTGGTTTTGGCTGTCAATTTTCACAGCTAACTCTGGCTTCAAATCTTTCTATATGCTTATTTCCCTACATGTTTCCTCCCTCGGGTTCTCACCTTGATATGTGTCACTCCTTGTTGGATCCTAAGGTTGATGCATTTTTTGGCCAGCTCAGTCTAGGTTTCCTCTGCTTCTTCTCTTATCATTCACCCTACCCCTTCCTCTACCCAATTTTTCCTCTCTCTCCTACTTCAATCTTGCACAGCCCTTTTTCATTGTAAGATATCTTCAAATGTAGGATTTTCTGATTTGTTACTGGTCAGGCCGGACTTTCCAATCATGTGGCATTTATCCTGTCATTTTTCTACTGCACTCTCAACGAAAATGCAGGTTTTTTTTTTCATCATTGGTTCATCTGCCACTCTGGTCATTCTAGAGTGAATCACCTATCTGCTTTTTTACTTGGTTGTTAGTCCATATTTTAACAGTCTCTGCCTTTGCTGATTATTGGGCAGCCTTGATCATGGCATTTCCCCTTTCCAGGTATCAAAATGTGTTTCTTCCCCTATATTCATTTCTCTGTTATGCCTATTTGTTCTTTTTCTACTTCCTCGCTCAACTCCCATTCCTAACTGAGACCTTAATGAGGATTGTCATGCTCTCACTCATGCATTAGCTTCTTCCTTTTGCACCATCTTTCTTTTCCAGCTTAATTTCTCCTTCTTCTCATCTGCATTTATTGTCATTCCATTTTCTAGGCTATGGATGCTTCTCAAAACCTATTCCATTGCACTGGTATACTTCTCACCCTGTATTAATCCACCCTTCCTCTGACTTGAACCACTCAAGAGGTATCCATACTTTCTCTCCTATCTCCCTTCCTTCTGGCTCAGTGATTTGGTTGTTAGGACCCGAATCAGCTCCTGTGTCCTGTTCGAGCTGTTTGGTGTTCTCTATCACAGGCCTCTTTCTTTTGGAGTCCCCACCATCATCTGTCCCTACCCTGGATCCCCTCTTATTCCAGGGACCTCTCCCTTTCTACCCTTACTGGAACACAAAGTAAGTAAACCATCTACCCTGGCTCTACCTTTGCCCACTGCAAGATGAGGTGTTTTGCAAGATCTTTTGAGGCATCCTCATGGTATACATATTTATTCAATTGTCCTATCCAGACCATACCTCTTCCATAGACTATCATGGAAAAAGCTAGCACTAGATAAGTGTTCTGACCATTTCTTTGCCTCATGCTTGCTGGCTTTTCGAGACAACCCATTGCACTGTCTACAGTAAAAGATCTTCCCAACTGGATATACATTGAGGACCTGGGCATTTCTACAAGCCTCCCCAATGCAACTTTCTCCTCCTTTGTTAAGTCTAGCATGGGAGACCCTTGCCAATTTTTAATTCCTAGCTGCTGGGGTGGTGGTGACACAGTCAATGTAGAGCAGGTCACTCCTCCAAAACATACCTCACACCATTTAAGTTCCCTTCTGCAGCTTGAGTCTGTTAAGTAGAATTGAGGTGAGCACACGCTATAATAGTGTGCCCTAATCCTGTAGCCAGAGTCTCTAGAGTTGAGATGAACACACACTATACAAAACTATACTACATAGCTACAGTGCCCTCCTCTTACAACTGACGTTTTTCCCATAAAGTCTGTTCAATAGAGCTGAGGTTAGTACTTACTTTATGATAGCATAATAATATAAGTGATGTGCCTTTATCCTGCAGCTGGAGTCTGTCCCGCAGAGTCTATCAGTAGAGTCAAGGTGAGCACACACTACATGAAGTCATATGACATAACTCAGATGCCCTCCTCCTGCAGCTGAAGTCTGTCACATAGAGTTTGTCAGTAGAATTGAAGTGAACACACAAGGTACATTCTGAACCTGCCCCAACCACACTACATATATTGGCCTACCGACTGCTTGTATTCAAGCAGTTGGATGATCATGTTCTCATTCTGCCCATCCCTGCAACACATGGGGCTCATTTGCCTCTTCCCTCTTTATATTCTGGGCAAAGAGGATACCCTGGTCAAGATGAGATGCAATCTTCCACAGGTGTGCCCCTATGAAGCCCCTGCAATTGGGTGTCACACTCCATGGGCTTCCCTTCAGATGCTTTCTGAAGGGAGATCCTCTCAGTAAAATTTTGCACCAGCCCCTCCACTAATTCAATGTGGGATTCTAGTTAACCTATGTATGGAGGTGAGTTATTGTTTCAGAAGTTAACATTTTTCTTACCTGAAAATGTATTTCCAATAGATACCACCACACACCTTCCCATCCAATCTTCCTACTTCTGTGGCACATTTTTTGTTTTGCCTTGTCAAAAAATGCATTTATCACGAGTGAATGCAAGTGCACAGAGGGAGTTACTGTACATGGAGGTTGTATCGGCCTCCTATTGATGGAGGGCTTTTGTTACATGATGACATCATCATGACCAGCACAGTTAACATTAAAACTTGTGAAATTAGGTGGGAGTTGCATGTCTCAAGGTTAGTGGTGCAAGTCTCTTAGACAGAAGCATGAGGAAGATAGCTAAACAGTGTACAAAGGTATCCATTGGAATACATTTCTAGGTGAGGAAAATGTTAATACTAGGACAACATTATTATTATTACACTTAAAAATAATTATTTTTTATATAAATACAAGTTGTTAAGTAAAAACATTACACAAGATTAAATTTCCTAGTAACTTATAGAAGCTGTCTTATTTATAAGGTAAGAGCTTTCATGGCTGTTTAGTTAGGATGCTCACATTACTGTAGCAGTAACAGTACTTTGCTTTTCTCTTAATTAAGAAATGACTATACATGATGGCTAATTAATAGTATCTCAGGATTGATATTTATTATATGATGATATTAATGTTGGTCATCACATTGGTTAGAAAAATTTATATTATGTATACTGATATTAAGAGTCATTTAGAAGTAATTGTGTTTTACTTGCAATTCAAAAGGTACATCATTTTCTAAGTTAAAAGTTCTTGTGAATACTAGATTTTATGAACATATCAATTGGTCAGTAAAGGGTTCTTGTAGAGTGATGTTGCAACATCTTGGTTGAAAATGAATAAACTGGTTGAGCTTGTAGGTACTAACATGTTAGAAAATGTTTAGAATTTCACCATGTTTTCGCTAGCTTTGATTGACCAGTGAATGTGTTCTTAAATGTGATTCATGATGCAGCAAAAGTTCCCAAGTTTCTTACTACCAATATCTTTGTTACAATTGTCTATCTCCACTGGTTCTGCAACTTTATCAAGGTTTCATTCATCATAGGAGATCTGACAGGAAACAGTGTGAATGTTTGAAACAGTCAGGAAATCACATTGTTATCTTCTTTCTTTCTTAGATTATATATGTAATTTTGTCTTAAATATCAACATTTAAGTTCTAAACAGTATTCAGTTTTCTTTTCTGAATAGCTGAAGGTAATTTACTTTCTAAAAATTTAGATCCTAAAGCTAAGTTGTTTTGTTAGAGAGTTAGCTTACAAAATTAAGACTTTTCTTTTAGGTTGTTGTTTTCTTAGTGCAAAGCTACACAACTGGCTGTCTGCACTCTGCCCACTGGAAACATTTAAAACTGCCATGGAGGTAGGCCATAATCTTATTTTAAGGAATAAGTCAAATAATTATTTTGTGAAACAAAAATAAGAAATGCAATCAACTAGCTTTACTAGTGACAAATTTTTAATGTATTTTGGAGTGATACATCTAATAATACTATTCTAAATTCTACAAAAGCTAGATTATACTTTAAGAAATGAAAAGTTATAAAACAAATTACTAACATGTATATTTTATTAATGTTCATTGTGATCACTGTTATATCAAAACCTTAAATGAGTGAAAATGGATTCTTTATAAACAACTGCTGCAAGTATTATCTATTTTCCAGAGTGAATAAATACACATTGCACATTTTAATGTAGTAAAAGAGCACTGAGAACTGATAATACATATTATGTAACACCAAACATAACTAAGAACATAATGTAGCAAAATTCTTGCTTGTGAATTAAATGTTTCAATATTCTAGCAAAATCTGATACCTATTGTTTAATGTAATTGTTGCTCTCTCTCTCTTTTTTTTAAAAGACTAATCTCCAATGGGTGGCATTAGCAATCATTCATTAAGCTTGGCAGATAATGCTTAAAATAAAAGAAAGACACAGTACAGGTTTTGCTTCTTACTGCCATTTTTTTAAAACCATGTTCTAACTTTTTCTTCCAATGTTTGATATCCATATTTTGTAATATAACGCGTTATTATTGTATAATAGCTTACCAAGATATCTGATGATGAAAAATTTACTGCTTTAATTAAATTTTCCACAGTGATAGACATGTTGAGGTAAAAACACTTACTACTGTATTATCAATTTCACAGTTTTCCAATAAAACGCATCCTTGGGTGAGAAAATGTATACTAATAAAAAATCATTAAGATAAATAATATACATTATTACGAATGAGGGTTAGCTTTTCACTTAGATATAAGAAAGTAAAACTCTGGGACATACCTTAGATTCCCATTCAGTTCCAATAATGGCTATTCCAAGAAGAAAGACGATTGTAACGATTCCAATGATTCGTATGTCATTTATTTCACTATCAATAATTTTAACACCATTAACCTGCAAAATTTAAAAAATTAAATGAAATTAATTTTTTAGTATTTTAGTTTGTGTGTTGTGACTTTGTAATTTTGTATAGTACTTTAAGTTTGAGGGAGAATTTTACTATCAATGTCAAATTTTATGTTTCTTAATGTCATATAAACTAGAAGAAAACAGTATAATTCACCCACACATGCTAGAAGAAAATAGTATATTTCACTCACACATGCTAGAAGAAAATAGTATATTTCACTCACACATGCTAGAAGAAAATAGTATATTTCACTCACACATGCTAGAAGAAAATAGTATATTTTATTCACACATGCTAGAAGAAAACAGTATAATTCACTCACACATGCTAGAAGAAAATAGTATAATTCACTCACACATGCTAGAAGAAAACAGTATAATTCATTCACACATGCTAGAAGAAAATAGTGTATTTCATTCACACATGCTAGAAGAAAACAGTATAATTCACTCACACATGCTAGAAGAAAACAGTATAATTCACTCACACATGCTAGAAGAAAACAGTATAATTCACTCACACATGCTAGAAGAAAACAGTATAATTCACTCAAACATGCTAGAAGAAAACAGTAT